TTTTCTTACAATTTATCACTTGTTTAAATCATATCACACTTTAGTTTTATTTAACTTCACTTTCTTGTACCCTTGGTGTTTGTCTTTTATTCTCCTGGCCTTTCTGTTTGCTTTGTTTTTCCTTACTATGAGGAGTTTATCCAATGTGCAGAATCTTTGTATTTTTGAAGTTGTCTTTCTTGGAACCTTGGAATTCCTGTTCTAATTTGAACTAATTTCATCTTAAGCCAGCTAAGCAGCTGCCAATTTGTTTTCTGTGTCATTTCCAGTTTGTTTTACTGCTTTATCTCTTCCACATCTTTCTCTTTCTTGCTTCCCACCTTCATTCTGCTGGAGTAGAGGTCAAGTAAAATTTTCAGAAAAAGCATATGGAAAATGAGCTTTTGAATCAGTACGTAATGGAGTCTTTATTCTCATTGTTGGTCGATAGTTTGGATTGACATTTTGTTCTAGGTTCTCATAATCAACATTTGAATAGTGTTTTAAAGAGTAATAAAGAGTTCAAACAGTGAACAATAAGAAGAAAACAAGCCAGACGTGGTGGTGTAATCCTAGCATGCTGGGAGGCTGAGGCAGGAGGATCACAAAGTGAAATCCAGCCTGGGTGAATTATTAATTTAGCAAGACCCTGCTTCAAAAACAAAACAAAATGAAAAATGCTGTAGCTCAGGCAATGCCCTGGGTTTAATCCCTAGTGCAGTGAAGAAAAAAGAAGCCATTCAGCCATTCACCATGCAGAGAGTTTATTTATGCAAATGTACCAAGGCATAAAATAACAGTATGTATTGGGAATCAAGCAATTCAGAATTGCAGTGCATAAAGAGCAAGGATTAGATCAAAGGGAGAAAGTACAGGGAATAAAACTGAAGGGAGAGGCTGGGTCACACCCCAAAGTCTTGTTGCCACACTAAGGGATTGACTATAACACTGAAGTGAAGAATAGGCTTCATCTGAGAAATAAGACACAGAAAGGTTGAGTGTTCACAGCCTGGATGGTGGCTACCGAATTGGAAGAAATGGGTCCTGCACGAAAGAAGGAGCTCACTAGGGCAGGAGGGGAGAATTGAAAGTAACCAGGGACTTTGTTCTGGAGCAATGATGAAGACCCAAAGATTTTGAAAAAAGGGATCAGTACTGTGGATTTATGTCCTAGAAAGGTGGCTCTGGACATGGTGCAGGGGAAGGAGTAGGTAGGGAGGGGAGGGTGGGCGAGCCCGTCTCCGTGCTGTTTGTTGCCATGTGGAATGCCCTGAGAGCTGACGGCCACTTGAGCCGCCATGGGGAGAAGGGCACAGATCTGAGGGATACAGACGATGAATTAAAGGCAAATCGAGCGTGAGTACATGTGAGGATGGAGAGAAGAGACAGTGAATCATGGGTTCTCAGTTTGGGCTGGGGGTGGAGGCATAGTTCATCCAGGAGAAGATGCTTGTGGGGAAAGATGTCACAGTGTGGGATTAAGCTTGTCCCAGACGTGGATCCTGTCTCTCTCTCTCTCTCTCTCTCTCTCTCTCTCTCTCTCTCTCTCTCCCTTTCTTCTTAAATTTCAATCACTTTTATCTGTCCAGTGAAGCAAAGAAAAAACCCAGACCTAACTGTTTGTCTTCCCTTCCCAACATTCCACCTTTGCCTGGAAACATCCTCTTTTGGCTTCTGCCTTCACAGCAAGTCTTTCAGACCCTCAGAATTCTCCATTTCCTTCAAACACAAGGCCTTTGCACCTGCTCTACCCTGGCCTACAACAATTCTCCTTCCTCTTTGGCCATGCTGTACTTACTCCTTCCTAGCTCAGTGTCAGTCATTGTCTCAGGGGGGGCCTGGACCCTCTCCTGACAGCCCCAGGCTCTCTTCTGCCAATAAAGGAGCAACTGATTCAAGCTTTGCAGTGCATTTATCTCTGTGATAAAGCGTCCTACCGCTTCACTGTAGCTGTGACCACAGAGGCTCTTCTCCCAAGAGAAGTGACGTTTCTCACACAATTCTCAGGAGCTATCGGAGAAGTTGCATGCCTAATTTCCAGACAGCAGTTCACCGCAGGCTACACTGAGCCCCTGACAGAGTCCATGCAAGACTGTGCCTTCAAGGCCCCTAGGAGGCACTGCTGCAAGATCTGACTGGGGAAGCCGCATTTCCTGCTGGGTCTCTCTGGGGCAGCAGCCAGCAGGGAACTTGCAGTTTCGCTGGGAGACAAGTGGGAGCTGAGGGTCCCTCCCGCAGGGCTTGCTATCTTGTATGCCTTGAGCTTCTTCAGTGTAGACTGGATCCAGTCTGTGATTTCCTCCCAGACCCACTTGAGTGCTGAGTGCATAAGACGCGCTTAATAGGTGAGTATTAAATAAGCAACTGAATATATTTAGATGCTGCTACTGATTTTCCATCTATCTACCTACCTGCCTGTCCATCTCCTGCCTCTGGCATACATGAGTCCAGAATCTTCAGAAACAGGTCATGGGACATTTCCTGCAACGCTGTGCCGCTGCCCTGTCCACCAATGCTGGTTGACCACGAAATCTCTCTTATCTGGGGACTCACCCTCTTTCCCTTGAGATTATGAGCCCCAAGGGCTATGGGATCCAGGAAGACTGCGGATTGCCTTTGGTCTCTTGTCTGTTGCATTTTTGTTCCCACTGCTTCCTGCTTCTGACACTAAAAGATACTAAAGGCGGTTGGCTCTGCCAAAACACCTGTTTCGCCAGGACAAGCTGGGTCCTCGTATTGTGGGCTCATCCTTCAGTGCTGTGTACTGAACCCCCAGCTCTTCAGGACACCCTCACAGCCATCCCCTTGCCCTGGCACCTCAGGAAAGCACCTTCTGCCTCCTCACAGCCCTGCCCAGTCCTTCTCTTTCAGGCACAAGCGCCCCATCTTTTCCTTCTCAGGGCTACACGTGCCAACTCACTGACTTGATGGTTAAAGTCCTGGAAAGTCCCCAGGCAGGAGTGAGCCAAGTTCAAAATAGTAAAGATCAGGCTGCCCTTAAAGGGTTAGGGAGAACAGTCTCCTCTTCCCCTGCTTCCTCCTTCTCTCTTCTTAAGACTTCTTAAGACTGGCATAAGCTAAGGCATTAAGCAAGTCAACAATCAGCCATTCTGCTGGTTGTGTAAATGAATTCAGTGGGGTCATATGATTAACCGGATATCATCAGGTCTAAAATAGATCAATTGTAGGGCATGCCATCATCTTATGTTTTAATAAAAAAAAATGTACTTATTAGAAGCACTGTTGATTGCACGGGGCGCCACAATTTTAGAAGTGACAATATGTGAAAAAAACATTTTTAGAATCAACAAGGTGGAATACTACATTTTTTTGCTCCTAGCCTTTTAAAATTATAATTTGCCTTAGAGATCTTTCTATGCTGATATTACAAGGATTTATATTTCATTGTTAAAATTTTTCTATAGCATTCCAAATAAGGAGATAATGTATATGGTAATTCATCTACTGATGGATATTATTTTTACATTTAAGAACCGTGCTTTAATGAAGGTTCTTATGCATTTCTGTATATTTTCAGTTTTTAGAGGTAGGGTTACTAATTACATTGAATTTTGAGATCACTGTCATTTTGTTCACACACAAAAAAAATACCTATTATAATTACTCCAGAGTGTCTGAGTATCTCTTTCCGCATGCCCTCGCTAAGGGCATGATATTATGGATGACATCGATAGTTTTCACTTTTCTAATCTAACTGACCCAAAATGATATTGATGTAATCTGTACTTCTATGATTGCCAATGAAATTAAACATATTTTCAAATGTCCTTTAGTCATTTTTATTTCTTTGTGGCATTTTGATCTCTTTTACCAATTGACATAATTTTTGTCTGATTTATAGATGCTTTTTATATAGTAAGGTTAATTGTCCATGTGTATTCAATATGTATTATCTCCCTGTTTATTTTCTGTAGCTAACTTTCCCAATGTTTTTATTATTCTTGTTGCTGAGATGTAACTTTGGGTTTTTTTCGGCTCTGGGGATCGAACTCAGGACCTTGAACTAGCAAGGCAGGCGGCAGCACCCCTGAGCTAAATCCCCGTCCCTGAGAGGTAACTGTTTCTGTAGCCATATCTTCTATTGTACTTCATTGCTTTTAGATTTTGCTTTGCTTAACATGTCTTCTGGAGTACAGGACTACAAAGTTAGTTACCCACAGTATTTCGTGTTCATTATCTACCAGTGTGTGTGTGTGTGTGTGTGTGTGTGTGTGTGTGTCCATCTGAGTATTTACATATTTTCAACCTTTTGAAAATAAAAAAGAATTTATTTTTGTCTACATCATAAGATAGGAATCTCACTTGCTTTTTTTCATGTCATAGTAAGTTTTCCTACTGCTCTTCTTGGGATAGTTTTAATTGTTTTCTTCTGAATGGAAAGTAATCATTCTTGTAGATTGGTGTCTCCTCCTGGATTTTCAGATCCACTTCTTTGAATGATTTTTCTCAATCTTTATGTTAATATCACAGTATTTGATTACTGTGATTTTGTATTTTGTCATCTCTTTTGGGGGAAAATCATAGAAAAGAGAGATTAATATATATTAATTCTCAATAAATTAATATTTATTCAGTGTCCTCTAGTGCTGGACTCAGTTGTAAGTACTTGGGCATCTGTAACAACTTTATGAACTTTAATTTTAATAAATAGCTTCATTTTAGTAATTTATTTATTGATCGTTCCCTCAGCCCAGGATGGCTCTTTAAAAAAATTTTTTTTCTCTATCAGGTAAAGTTTAAAATACTTTAACGTCCATAAAAAGTTTTATGAAATTGATTGATATGACATTAACTTATACAGGAAATTTACTGCATTAACTTACAGAATAAAATGGTAGATAAAATAGGGAAAATAAATATATTTGGATCTTCCCCTCCAAAAGTTACCTTACCTCGGTGTGCTGCAGTTTCCTTCTTTAAAAAATGAGGATAATAATCTTAATTGCCTTATAACATTTCCCAGACAGCTAAGAAATAAATCATCTATGTAAAAAATCTTAGACAATTCCTGGCACATTAAAAGAACATAAGAAATGGTAGTTAGTATTATTGTCATTGTTATTGTTATCATTATTGCCCGTCTTTTGTATTTATGCCTTTAGAGTACAGTTCATAGCTTTATTCTCAGTATTTTATAGGTTTGATTGCTATTTTATTTCCATTGTATGCCATAGTTCTTTATTGTTAACACAGATAAACACATGGAAAGGTACATTTATCCTCTGGGTGTTCATGAAATCTCCTGTACGGTCTTTTCTCGTTTCTTCCTCTGCTTTGGCTGTGGTTATAAATGGAAGCTTTAAGGGTGAAGAAACAGAGGTCAGATTCAGACGTGGGTAACGTATTATTTCCTTATGATGTTGATCTATGTGATTTCCAAAATCAAACGTAAATTCGTTTTCACTTGCGCATTGGTCATACTAATACTCCCTGTGACCAGCTCAGCTGTGCTGGAGAACTGACTGTATGGATTGAACATGGCAGGAAAATCATTCCCATCTGTGTCTTCAAACACTGACTTATGTAAAATATGTCTTTAGCCACGTCTCTATAGAGAACCATTGATCTAAAGGTTAGGAAGGAAATTGTCTTGAAACACCTGAGAGAACTCAGGATGCCTGTCCCAGAAGAGCATATAGCTTGGTGGATTCCAGCCATTCCTGTGTCCAAGAAAGGAGGCAGCAGATTTGTGAGAATGTGCAGCAACATGGGTGAGTAGAAGGCCCGGTAGAACTTAGCAGCAATTTCATCTCTCCCTCGAGCGAACCACCTCGGGGAGGTATGGGTTCATTGAGTAACTGAGTCACATCATTAAATTCAAAAGAAGAGAATAATGACCTCTGTGATTGCTAAATTTAAATCCTCTCCAAACAAAAGCATCTACCTAGATAAGTTTTTCTTCCTCCTCCTTTTTTTTTTTTTTGAGGGGTGGGGGGCTGTGTCTAGATTTAGGAAGTGGTCAGATACGTGTAAACTTCTTCTCCAATTTGTCTTCTTTTGCATCTCAGAGGAGCTCACACGGTTTCTGTCCAGATCATTTGAAAGTGTGTTGCTATTCTGAACACTGTGAAGTCTTTTCTTCTCTCTACTCATTCTCATGAGGCTGGTGTCCCCTTGAGTGTCGCTGGCCTGGTTCCACTATGTCAAATGTATGCGGCAGAGAAAGGGGATACACCAGCAGCTGGAGTGGCTGAGAGGAAGGAAGGAGACGAAAACAGATTAATCCCATTCGAAGCAACAGGCACTCTGTTGGATGCTTTCAGACCCAACACTGCGTTTCATGCTCCTGACCATCTTGCGAGAAGACTAGTGCCGTGATGATTTTCACACACGAAGAAACCAAGCCTCAGGGAAGTGAAGATCTGAACCAAGATCTCCTTAACTCCCAAGCCAATGGATCAGAAGCTGCAGCTCATTTTGAGTTCTGAATTCCGGCTCCTCCTAAGTACCCGAGAGCTTAGGTGAGGTCTCCAGGAAGACTGGAGATGAGAACTGTGTGATGTCAAGGCCAACATCGGTTTCAATCACCCGAATCTGTCTACACAAGGAGGGACTTCTTTATCGGCAACCTATCTCACCAAGAGCTCCCCACAGTGGACAAGGCAAAACGCTTTCCATGCAAATAAAACTGTGTGGTCATCAAGGGAATGCTGTTACTTTGCTATTTCAGCTCAAAAATCCTCTTCCCATAAGCAGGTCACACCCTCGCAAGACTTCCCAGATCCAGTTTTGCTTGGTTGTTTGAAGATCAGACGAACAGGGCCGAGGAAGCTGTAGGCAGAAAGAATTAGTGCTAATTCTTTCCCACAATACCGCCCTCCATTCTTCTAACATACCTCAAGTGCATGCCCTCGGCCAGAGCAGATCTGGTGAGAGGAAGATTAACAATGATGACAAAAATAGACCCTGACTTGATAAAACAAATATCAACTGGGGCAGGGGACAAGAGCGGCCCATAACTAACCTCGGATCTAATACGTTCCTCATTAGCACAGGATTGCACCACCTTAAGTATTTCACCTCGTGCTAACTCTGCTGTTAGACTTTCTACCGCTGCCCTTGAACTTTGTCAATATTTGCGAACTGTGGGGGAAAAGAGGATATAGATCTGCAGGAGGGGTGGATGGAAGACATTCTGGAATAGCTTTTGGCTCTCTGTAAACTTATAATCCCCGTCTTGTTGGTCTTTGGCGACCTACCTTTGGAGACGAGGTTATGCGGGCGGATGTTTTCCATGACATCGTGTGTGTTGCGGGGCGGTGAGCTTCCATGGCTTTGTCTTGATCTGCGCTCCCCAGTTTTCTCTCAAGATAAGGATGAGCTCACCGAAGCTATCATCTCTAGATCAGTAAACACTCCGCATGGGTCAAATTCCAGCCCCAGACCCTGGGCTCCTGCACTTCAGGGAGGCATCGATTTCCCTTTCCTGAGGCTTTGGGGTGAGAGGTGAGAACGGCTGGGGCCATGGGTGGTCTGACTTTCACTGTCTTCCAGATCTGCCTCCATCCATGCTCGGCCCAGAGTGAGGGTCGGAGAGGACGTGCCCCTTGTCCTTCTGCTGGATCACCCACACGCTCTTGGCATGATTTCATTTTGCTTTTGCCATACTGGAGACCGACCCAGGGCCTGACTGGTGCTCAGCCCCACGCCATCTGGTCTGCAATCCAGTTTCCTTTCTGATCGCTTACCCTGTGCACCCTAGTCTTTCCTGAATAAAATCTCGCCCTCACCCACTTGTCCCTTACCTGTGGGGGGTATTGCACAGCCGTTGTGGTGAGGTGGCGAGGGTGTTTGATGCCCTCCCTGCTGCTGTAACCCACCCGCCCAGCTCTCAGGTGGGGAAGCCTTGTGAAGGCAGGGCACACATGCCTGTACATCTCTTTGGTGCACCCTGCCTGCTTCCTTTCCCCAGGAGCTCGGGGAGGGTTGATGTTGGCTCTCACATTGAGCAAAGCAAAGGAAAAAGGAACACGGTACAACAGTAGCATTTATAATGCCAGTGACTATCTGTTAGGACAACTATGACTGCCACCCCTGAAGGCTGATGTCTTCCTCTTTCCTGCAGACTATGGAGCATGAGGTGCCTGGGCATATCCTACTGCACATCTCACTGCTGCAGAGCTTGAACGGCAGATGTGAAAGAACAGAGAGCTCAAAAATAAGCACCAGGTTCCAGAGGTGGCTCTGCTGAGCTCAGAGCCCACACTGCTGACTGCTCCCATCTTCCAGCGTAATTCAGGGGCATTGCTGACCACCACGGCCAGTGGTTTGGTGCAAACCAGCTACAAAAACCAGCAGGGGACTCTGGCACACCCATGACCTGGCTTCTTCTGGCCACCAAGGGTGCCTCTCTCTCTTACTGTAGTTCCCACAGTAGAAGTTGTGCTTGCTTGCTGAACAAGTTCAAACACAGCAGAAATATATAAGCAGGGCCACTGTCCCCTGATCCAAACGCATCCCTACTGCCGTCTGCTCTTGGGCGTAGTATTTACTATGTTGGCACATGTTCTCACACATTGAGTGCACATGTACTACAGGCAAAGATACTTCAACTTGAAAAACAGATACAAATTAGACCCAAATTATGCAAAAACATTCCTATATTTACTTTTAAAAGTCAACAATGTAGTGCGGCTAACTCTCTATTTTACTGCATAGCCATATCTTAACATCACATTTTTACAGATGCATAGAATTACATAGGCTGTGGTCTTAAAATATAAGTGTTACAAGTAAGAGAGGCCTTACAAAAAGAAAAGATATAATTCTATGTGGCTTTGGTGCTATCACAGGGAAGCTGTGGTCCTTGGGGTCAGTTCATCTCACAGAGGCAGAAAGTCACACAATTTAACAATTATTTGCTCCTGATTTTCCATTTTCACATCAAATCCTGCAAGGAACATGTGGCATGAAGTTTAGACACATTAACAAAGGTCTTCTCTGCTCCAGACTCATTACCTGTGGCTCTTCCCCTTCAACCAGGCACAGCCCTGCACCTACAACGGCTACAGGTTGGAAATGCAGAGAACAAAGCACCAAGGTTTTGACACTGAATCCCTAAGTCGGGTCTTAGAACTCAGTGTTGAGACACTGGTCTTGGAAATGAAGGCTTTTAGTTTGACTTTTTTGAATGTGTAAGATTAATAAAAAGGGTGTTTTTAGTTTCAAAAGCTCAAGCACCATAGAATCAAGGTATAAAGCTTAACCTACAACAAAGAGCGGAGATGACAGGGGAGGAGCCAGCCTGGCTCACCCTCCTGGTCTGAAGAAGTTTGTCTGGACGAAGGGACAGAGTGGCAGAGAGGTGTGTGTCCAGGCCTGGTGCCTGCAAAGGGTCCCTTGCATCTTGGGCAGAGCCCAGGAATTGGGAGCAAATGACAGATCCAGAACAGCCAGGGATACTTTTTGTCTTCTGTTTTTGTTTTTGTTTTTAGCTCTGGATACTGAACCCACGGCCACATCCCCAGTTCTTTCTTTCAGTAATTTTTTGTTGGTTCACCTTTGCAGTACATGATGTTTACATTCCTTATGTAGAGTTGGTACGTGAACATGGCACATCTCAATTCTTTTCTCATCTTCTTTCCTTCCCCTCCCGAATCCCACTCCATCTCTTCATCGCCTTTTCATTTGCAAAAGATCATCTCCCTAATTCCTACTGTTTGGCCTTTATATTGCTCTTTATTTATACTTTGATTTCCCATAGAGGAGAGACCATATGATGTTTAAACCCATGTGTCTGACTTATCCCACTTAACATTATGGTCTCAAGGTGCATCCATTTTCCTACAGATGATGTGAGTTCATCTTTCTTCGTAGCAGAGTAGTACTGGGCTGTGGGTAAACACCACATTTTCCTTATCCATTCACCTGCTGATGGGTGTGGAGGCTGCTTCCAAGAGTCAGCTATTATGAACTGTGCTGCTGGAAACACGGGTGTGCAGGTATTACTATAATAGGGTGTCTAACTCCTTTGGGAAGATACCTAGAAGGGATAACTTCTTGCATGAGGCTCCCAGAGTGCTGGGATTACAGGCAAGTGATCCATACCTGGCTAGGTCTGGGGTCTTGGAGAAGGAATTCACGTTGAGGTCCTATGTGGCATCTAGAATGGAACAGCTGTCCAGCTCCCCGGGCAGCATGATGTGGCTTTGATAGGGCACCAAGGGCTACGTAAGTTTCAGCACCAAGGAGCTCAGCCATGGGGTGTGAGTCACCGCAAGGAGTAGGATGGGGAAAGGAGTTGGTGAGGGTGGAGAAGCTCCTATGTCGGAAGCCCAGAGGTAGGAACGGCCGTACTAGTGAGCACGGTGCTCAGGGGACACCCGGAATCAGACGGCGCAGGACTCCTTGCTACAGACCCGAGAATGCAGCATCCTTCATGTCAGCCAATGGCCAGAGGCCTCCACCCACCACAGAATCAACCTCGGAGATGCCACCACAAGGGAAGGGGCCGAAGCGGACACTCATAAACCTGAACGTGGCAGCATTGCTTTCTGTGTCAGAAGCAAAAGGAGCCAGGATAGGAATTAAACTGAACAACAGAGGAAACAGTCACACATCTTCACCAAGCTGAATGTGCGCCTTCCTGATTCCGACCTGCTCCCACGGGTGAGTATGTCCGTGAGACTGGCTGTCAGATGCGAAGTTGGTGAGGCAAAGCACTCACATTTTATCTTCTGAATCCTGCCAGATCCTTCTCCAACACGGTAGCTCCAGCTCACACAGCTTTTCACCAGCCCTGTCAGGGAAAAGCTTCTAACCCCTTGCTTGCCAAACTCTGCAGGTTACAAATACTTAAAAACTTTTGCCAACTTGAAAGGAGGAAAATATCTTTCTGGATCTTTTTACCACTATCTGTTGCTGCAGGTTTCTATCCCAAATGTACTGAAAGTTTCCTTCTTCTGTAGCTCAAAACAGAGAAGACTCAGAAATGCATGGCTAGAGACATTGTCGAACTGCAACTGGCATCATTTTATTTACGTTGAGAAAGTTAAAGCTGCTAAAATGTTGAGAGTAAGAAGACACATTTTATATATTCCAGCTGGCAAAGGCTTGTTATGGAAAATGGCAACTCTCACGCGCTCTATCCAATTGCCTGTCGTCAGTGAAACTTTCTCAGAGCCTGGTATTTTATCCCTCACTTGTATTTCGGGCCTGGAGATTGAATTCCTATCTTTTCCACTGAGCTATATACCTAGACTTTTTAGTTTCTGAGAAAGGGTCTCATTAAATTACTGAATTTCCCAGTCTGTGCTCATGTTTGCAATTGTCCTGTCTCAGCCTCCCAGAATGTTGGAAAGTGTCCTTTCCTCATCCAATATAAAGAAGAAGGTTTTACAATTTAAGTAAATAAAACAAAACAAAACAAAAAAACCATACAACTTCTTTATCCTGTCTCAAGTTGATGGGCAATTGGACTATCTCCAAATAAGTGAAATTAATAAGACACATGAATAAATACTGAATAGTTTCTCTGGTGTGAAAAACTAAAAGTGTAAATAAGGATCAAAATGTATAATTGATATTGGGTAGTAGGAAGAAAAGGTCTAAAAGAGTAGAGGAAGTAGGAGGGGTAGGGGAAAGGGAAAAGACAAAGATATTTTAAAAGGAAAAACATAGAAACAATGTCTTTGTAAACAGGGAATGGTGGAGCGGGTGAAGGGAGGGCTGGGGAATGGGGAAAAAAAAAGAACCAAGATACATCCTGTAAAGGTACAAGATCCCGATGATGAATGTAATTGTATTGTATACCTAAATTGATAAAAAAAATTAGAATTTAAATCAGTGCTCCAGAAAATGAAAATGGCGCAACTCCTCTTGTGCAGAATTATTAACCTACCCCAAATGGGCATGCTTTTTCTACCTCTCTCTTTTCTTCTTCTTCAGTTATTGAAGGGCATTATTAAAGCCGCTGTAGACCAAACTGGCTTCTTGCAGAGACCAAGAGTTCCAAGAGGGTAGACGAAAGTGAGACAGGGCAGCCTGGAAAGCAAAAAGGGCCTGAAGAGCAAGGATACTTGGGCCCGGTCAAGGAAAAAGGAGGCAAGAGTACTTAATGCTTGAGTTTGCTGACAGCTCCCCAGAGTGAGATTTATCTCCACTGTCAGGGGATGGGAGAAAAGGCAAATCAATATTATCAGGGAAACTTCTGCCTCTTTTTGCTGAGGTTCAAGTCGAGAACGTCCTTAAGGCCGATTGCACCCCTGCTAATTTGTAATTCAGTGCCCTTTTTACTATACTGCTGGTCTGGATCTGCTTGTTTTTGCATTTGTACTCATAAATGTGGGCTTTATAA